TACTACATCCTTAACCATTTTTATCAGTATAGACGGTAATTTGTTTGCTAATTAACAAATCTCTTATAAATTTTCTCGTATGCAAAGGAGTTTTCAGTGTGACATTCTTTTTATCAAGAAAATATCAAACATTAAATATATATTTTTCGTTTATTGAAAATATTTAGCTTTCTAAAAGATCTTTTCATATCGCTTTAATGCCCAATCTGGATAATATTGAAAATAAGTACAAAAATATTAAATTTTACAGGAAGTATTTTAAATAAAAAAAATTTTACACTATAGTGAAAATGATAATATGCACATACCGTGTTGATTGAATAAACACTGATAGTCACTCGCGAAGTTTTATTAGTCTATAAAAATAAAAGCGAGTCTATCAAAAAGAAGTTAATCTTATATTAATTAAACAAATTTAATGAAGAATAGAAAAAGATCATGTCACAAAAATCTGTTATAAATATAAATAGTATATTAACATTCCATACTTTAGAAAGACGTGTATTATAATTTCTACAATATTCTATCATCAAAAGATATGACTTAACGATAGTTTTGCCTTAGACAATTATTTAACAATATAATCTATTAACATTGCATATTTATGTTAATAATACTTATTTTACATAGCAAAAGATGCTACAATATATGAAATTTCATAAATATTTTACGGCATAAAGCACCGAATATTTCTCCAATCATTTTTATTGTTATAACTGTGAAACACGGTAAGTTTGAACACAAATATACTTTTCATTGTTTACAATGTTATATTGTAAACAAGTGTCACGTTTTGTCGGACTTTAAAAAAATTTCGTTTATTCATAGCCCAAACGGCACAAAATGTTTTTAAAAAGATTAAAATGTTTTAAAATTCGAAAATATTTTTAGAACTATGTCTATGTCCAGATCATATCGAAAAATATTATCAAAAATATTTTAAAAAGATTGCATACAAATATATTAATTATAATTGTAAAATCTTTTGGGAATATTGCGTCAATGGAAAAATAATTTCTTTTCTTCTGGAAATTTTAAAATATCATTAAAAATATTGTTGATATTGTTAAAAATTGCCACAAGTTTTCAAATACTTCTAAACCTGTTAAGACATTTTAAAATATTACTAAAGGTAATTATTAAAGAAATATTTTTTAATATTTAAAAACATAAGTTTTCAAAAATAGGAAAAAAATCATTTTTTTAAAAACATTTCTCAATTTTTTGTGTTGTATGGGAAAGAAGCAATATCAACATCAATCAATACGATCGTGAAGTGATAAGAGAATTTCTTCAATCACTCGTCCAGTTAAGTCTTAGCAACCGTGCTCCTTCTTCAAGTGATTCAATAGATTAAACTTCATCGGCATGATGTTGCGACAGTACGGACAGGTATACAAGATTCTGCCACATTCCTCTCGCACGTGCCGGTTCAGGGCCATCCGCGACTTGTACGTTTTCTGGCATTCGCAGCAAGTGTGGAAACCTGAAACGGAAGGAAGAAAGCCATCTTGAATAACTGTCTTAATACACGTCACGACAATCAACAATGCTCTCGCCCCCACAAAAGCATTTAGCATCGACATTAGCATTCTGCGTGCGCGGTATACATCCAATTTTTTCTGTGTCGTACCGGGTAGCTCGCTAAGCTCTTGAAATCCTGCCAAATCCTTCGGGCGATCTGAAACAGAGAGCGCATTCAATCATCTATTAGTAGCGCTCTGAAAAAATATATTTAAAGGAAAACAGAGGCGGCATTGGTCAATTCTGAAAGAAACAGCAATGATGGATAAAAGTTTTACATTGAAAGAAATCAACAATTATAAATATTCTGCAAAAAACATCATTAAAAAAATCTTTAAAGTAGTAAAAAGGTTTAGCTCATCAAAATAAGATTTATATTATTATTATTATTATTATTGAATAAAACATCGATTCGAGGTTCTACTGAATGATGGGGGAAGGGCGAAAGAATCGCCATACTTAATATGTATATCGTATTGGCTTGCTAACTGAAAATAAGACCGTCGTTTCGCTTTAGATGCTTTTATGATACTTTATTATTGGTATTACGAAAATACATGCATTTATCAATACTACGGGTTATACAGTATCTTTAATAGGTAAGCGGTCGGCACTTCGTACCGAGATAAAATTTTTAGATTGTATGCGGCGAAAAAGAGAGAATCGATAGTTTATAGTGTTGTTTGCAGCAATATCTATCATCAGATCTCAATACTGATCCTCGGTGAACAAAATATTCATCTATAATATACTTTGTTCTTTCCAATACTTGGCCTTAGATACAGTGAGGTGAACATTTCCTACTCCTCCAATAGGATATCGCATTCTTTAAGAAAAAATGCGTGGTTTATGGCATTTAAAGATTGATAATAATTTAAAGCATAATACAGATGAGAGATAATCTTCTAAGCCTTATTATTGTCATTCAGTCTTCTTTCCTTTACGGTTTACCGTAGATTAAACTACGCTATTCGTTACATTGGTATATGAACTATCGCATTATATTTCTGCATATCTCAGTCGCATTATTATTGATATATAATTACATAATAAAGTGTTAGGGAGGAGAAAGATATCCTACAAATGACGATTTTTATTTCTATTTTTCATTTATAAATTTGTATGCACCGTTCATCTGTGAGATCTGAATCCTTTCACAAAATGCGCCAATCGCTGATTACAAACTAACGCAATATGTCGAACTATTCTATGATAACGACTCGGGAACTACCTCATCGCCTTCGTGGCGAGTTTAGGAAAAATATATTTTTCGGAGAGAACGCTTTCACGGGATTTCTAATCGGGACTACGTAGAAAACGGTCGTCGACGTCTCGAAATGACTTGCTCATAAATCCTTGCATTTTGGAGCTGCAAACTCTTTCATTTCTTGAGAACGGTTTGATAGTTAGTGGCAGTATGGCACACATGCCACGAAGAATCGTAACGACGACTAAGGCAATTTGACAATTCCTCCCCGATCTGGATCGCTGTAGGTCGTTTAAGTATTCGGCGAAGTAACTTTGAAGTGCTGCTCTGCCTGATGAGCGTGCAGGATGAAGGCTTTGAAGGCGGCAAATGGGCACAGCGGACACTTGAATTGCGGTGGTTCACATTTGTGTTTCAAATAGTTACTCCACATCTTGTAGAATTTGCTGCACATAGTGCAAGTGTAGCCAAGAACCTGATCGCCCATGTACATCTTCCGGTAAGCTGGAAACAGAGGGACCAAGTTAGTTAGTTAAGCGAAAGCTAACTGCGCTGTTCAAGCCTCGCAAAAGAAAAGGATTCAACAAAAACAGCAGTATCAGGATAGAACGATGAAAGCACTCGCGGATATTTAAGGCGACGATCAGTTTGATTTATGAGATGTAATTATTTCACGTTTGTATATATATATATATATATAAATTTTAACTTTCGAATAAAGATACAATGAAAGAAAGACAATTCGAAACATTTATTACCAGCCAAAATAGAAATAATTAATGCGTCTACATCAAGAAGTAACTTGCCTGTTCGACTTTGCAATAAGCATGAGATGTTTGAACTAAATTTAAACAGAATTTACATAAAACGTGAAATTAATTAAATATATATAATCGATATCTCATAAATCCAACTAAAGATTGTGATTATCTTAGACGAATATTTCTTGCCACAAGAAGATCGGAAATGTGCTCTTTCCGGAAGCTTGATGCATCCCTTAGATTTAAAAGCCATCCTAAAAATCAACGAAAGCTCGGAAAATTTTGCAAATATAATTCACACAAGGACAACTACTCTATAAGTTCTAGAAGGAGCCTGATACGAAATCAGGAGGATTAGAAACTAATTTACCAAGCCGCCAAACGTATTTCTATTATATAAAATATAAAGCACTCATTGCTGAAATAATATATACAAACATTATTTCGCTTTTCGATATCCTCATGAGTTATCATGAAACTTAAAATCCAAATATTAAACTAAAAAAGAACTTTTGCGTTAATATATCTACGACTTTTTCTAACATGTATTACATCGTATATTCTCATAAATTTCTTCATTCTATAGAGAGAATCTATATTATAATATTCCAATAAACGAATATAACGGGTTTTTGGGAGAATTTACGAAAACACAGACTCCAAGGAATAACTAAAAAATAAAAAAACACCAAATAATAATAATTGGATACAACGTCTTCTACATTTAGTTCTCTTCTATTTATTTGCTACTATTTATTTTATATTCAAAACTTTATATCCCACTATCTTATTCATCTTCAGTTTCTTCCGCATTCTTGCAACTTCTCAACAATTTTTATTTCCGTAGTCTTAAGTAACCTAAAGGGTAAACATTCTCCATAAAATTATTAATTGTTAGTACATATATTTTAATGTGTTTAATAGATATTACAAATACATATATATCTTAATATAAGTGTCGACGTGTAACTAGAAATTCTAAGAACAAAAAAATAGTGGATATTATACCTGTTACAAAAAGAACCTTTAATTTATTTTACATTTAATATTACATAATTATATATAATTATACATAGTGGTAATTTTTTATAATTTTTCCAATACATAATGATCGTTATTTATAAATTATACAAGAATATGAATGTAATAAAGTTTGAGAAAAAATTTTTAGAAATAGTTCGTTCGTGTACGTATTTTTTCAAAAATGATAAAAAGGCTGTTCTTTTTTTTTTAATTTGTCAGTACTCACAACATATTTGAAGAATATTTTCGAAAATTTAAATTTCATAAATACAATGCAATCCTTCGACAATAAAAATGAAAATTAACGCTAATTTTTTCTTCGTCGCAATGAAATGCGACAATAATACTTGAAACTACCAACTTGAATACCAATTTGAGAATAATGCGATGATTATATACTGTATTATGTATTGTATTATTCTCAAATAGGCTACTAATTACTATGTCTGAATTATTATATTTGAAGAACATATTTATATGCAGGTTATAAATTCTTCTACCAATCGAATTTTTTTATCGGTACAATCAATCGTTCGTAAAATTTGGAAAACTATAGCTGCATTTAGATAATTGGAAGATTAGTAAAACATAATGTTATGAAAAAATCGTTTCATCACAAACGATCGTTTCAGAAGAAATCGTTTCATCACAAGAGCAACGTTCCAAATCGATTCGATAGTGCTAGGAGCTTTAATTAGGGAAGCGATTGTAGAAAATGTCGTGATGCTTCTTTCTGTGTTTGTCGATGCACCATTTGTGAGGACTCTTGTATGAGCATATGTCACAGCTGAATTTCGGTTTCGCATTCACGCACTCGAACTTCCGATGCCTCCAGAGGGACCTTTTCACCGCGTAACTCTTGCCACAATCTGCGCACACGTAAGTCCTCTCGCGCGTTTCGTAGATGGCACTTCCTCGTTGTTGATGATGCACATCACCGACGTCGTATCCGTCCACCCTCTTGTAAGACCACATCGCTGAAACACCAATGTCAAATCGGTTAAAAAAAGCAATTACTTAGCGACAACAGGCGCAAGTGCACGTGAATTGAACATTACTTCCGAGAGAACGTCATAGACGATATCAATATTTCAATTTTATATTAATAACGTCGCAGGTAGCAGTCGAAAGAATTTGTCAATATTGCTGAGACAATTTAATAAAAATTATTAGGAGTGCGAGAGTTAATTGCATTGTCAAAAATTGATTTTAGAAGGCGCTGCACGGTATCTCTTCCTATACCTGTCAACACACAACTTACGAACAACTTATCTCACATCTAAAACTCTGTATTACCTGTTACCTTATACGTTTACACATTCCAACTTCCGATGTTTCGAGAGTTTTATCCTCAACGTGAAACCCTTGCCGCAATCAGTGCACATGTAAATCCGCTTGCGCACTATGACAGCATGTTTTTTTTGTGTATGTAACGCCCCATCCCCATCGCTATTGTGTGTACCAATTTTCTTTTGGAGAGAGGAGTACGCCATGACAGGAGTATGCCATAATAAAGCTGAAACAACAACGTCAATAATCGTTTAATGGAAGCAATCTGCTAAGCGCGTAATTGTAATTATAATTAATTTATTAAAATGTTAACAATATCACACATGTGTATAAATTAAAATTATAATAAACAAAATAAATATAAAAATAAATATCAATTCAAATCTAATAATTGTAATAAAATATTTTTGGGATTAAAAGAATTATTTTAAATCTTAAAAATTAGAATGAATATATTGTGAAAGAAGTGTGTGTGTGTGTGTGTGTGTGTGTGTGTGTGTGTGTGTGTGTGTGTGTGTGTGTGTGTGAGTGAGTCAGTGAGTGAGTGAGTGAGTGTATGTGTTTATAAAACACATTTTCTAATTATACTGGACAGGTAACATGAACAATCTTTTGCATGCAATTATAATATCTATTTGTAAGAATTAATTTCGACATTTAATGTGCGTGAAGATATTTGAAATATATTGACTTCGTATGAAATGACATTTGAATGCTAACAACGAAGGATTAGATTATACCACAAATTTCTCATATTATATAAAATTATTCTATTTTCTGCTACAGTTACATTCCTGACATATATTACAAACTACGAATTAAATATAATTTAATGTAAATTAAATAGACTTCTTAATGTAGGGGAGCCTTTTAATCCTTTAAGAAATTCTGCATATATATATTGTTGTGCGTATGTGTGTTATGTATACACACACCACACACACATACATACACACACACACACACACGCACGCACGCACGCACGCACGCACGCATGCACACGCGCGCGCGAAGTAAGTCTGTATTATTATACATTAAATATTGCGTATGGCTCAAAGAAGAGATAGAAATAGAAAATTTGGTAAGAAAATAATAGCCGCACGTATCACTTGTAATTGTAAATTTGTACAATATTTATTTTAAATATAAATTATATGATCCCAGCACATATTCGTTCAAGAAACGTTTCACAAATGTTTCTTCAAAACGTTTTATAACCGGGTCTTGAAAACAGTTCAAAGTCTACTCGAAAAACGTTAAGGAAAATATTTTTTCTGATAAAAAAACGTTTAAGAAATAATTAAAATATCGTTTTTTCTTATATATATATATATCTCTCTCTCTCTCTGAAAAAAAATTTGCTTTCTCATAGAATTATTAAAATAATGCATTCACATGTATAGGATACATACGTATTTTTTACAATAAAGTTGAAAAATCATTAAAATAATAATTTTCTTGAATAATTTATTCAATTTTATTTAAAAAATATATATGTTTACGTGTAAAAATATATACATTATTTTATATTAATTCCGTGAAAGGCTAATTTTTTCATGAATAAAGAATAAAAACTGTTTCTTTTCTATTACCGAAAAAATATACACATTTATATAATTAATAAATACACTAATTTTTTTCCGTAATGTTACATAGTACAAAATGTTACAGAATCAAATGTGAATAAAGTTACGTAATTACACCTTAATTAAGCGTGATAATCCGACGAGCATTTTTATGTAGGTTCAATCGCCGATGTCATTATAATTCTAAACTAAAGATGACTTTCTGATTATTTATTATCTCAGGTATTTAATAATCAATCCTCCAAACTTTTCAATACAAATCTCCAATATTTTATAGATTTCAAGGAGTAAAGCTACATTAAAAATATAAAATTTTGTTGGAGATTAACATACTAGAAAAATAATCTGAATCCTGTTCGGCAAATACAAACAGCAAAATATTTGATAACATTAATCATATTTACAAAATATTAAAACATTATTCTCTTTGGCTACATAATTTCATACATTCTTCTTTTGGATTTAAATTGATGAGAGATTGGGTATAAGGCTTATTTTTATAATAATCGTTTACGTAATTACAATGTTTAAAATCACACATTGCATACATTTAAAATGTATTAATGTATACCAATATATTACAAAATTTTTCTTTCTTTCTGAATCGCGGAGATATTGTCTGTGAATTAAATCTAACGAATTTTGGATGTTCATTTTCATAATCTATGTCAAAATAGTTACATGAAGTTGTTTATCTCAAAAAATTATGGACGCTCAATTGATAGGAATCTCGGTTCATTAATTATTTGAGTACACGTTCATCCGCACGCTGTAATTGATTGTCGTTAGATTAATTTACGATAGCGTATGCGATTGAAGATAAATTATATTTTTAATTATAAATTATATTTTAAATTATTTTTTTTTAAATTAAATATTGTGGCACTTTGCTAAATTTGACTCAAACAATCGTGAAAAAAATAATCTTTGTTCTTTTATCATTGATATTTACGCCTGGCTCATCGCACAGTTTCATGTCCAGAAGAATGCAATGTAAATTAATAGCCGAATTTGTGCAAAAGAAAAGATAAGGTTCGTCTATTTTCTCTATCGTATTTTAATTTGTTTACTAATCTGATGATTTTAAATACGATAAGAAAGAATATATCTATTACAAACATACATATATATATATATATATATACACATATATATATGTATATGTATATGATATCGAGTCACATTAATTTTTTACGGGTAAAACATGCGGAAAAGTCTGATCATCGAGAAACCATAAATCGTTCTGTTCATTCATTTGAAGACTAAAAAGAAACGCTTATGACGATAACTCGTTGTCAATTATTTTTTTCAAAAAGGGATCCTGTTTGCACAGAATGTTAGTTGCACATGTTCAGTTGGACACCAGCCAATTACAGCGATAGGAAAAAAAAAATAAAGAAAAATCCCTCCTCGTGAAAGTCGCTGTGATTGGCAATAGCCAATTACAACACTGTGCAATTATACTGCTCCCCATTACACATCGGGATAAGGATAAAATAGAAACTTAAAAAAGAAGGTATTGTAGTTTATTTCTGAAAGTCATCCAATCGATGGAAGGTCTTTATGTGTCTGCGAACGCAGAAGGAGTAGTTGCTGCGGAAGTTGCAGAGCTCGCAGCGGAACTTGAGGCTGCCGGTGTTATGAACATTGCTCACGTGTCTCTCCATGTTTGCCTTGTATATGCTCTTGTAAGGGCAGAAGGTACAGGAGAATGTCGTGGTGTTGCGCGGATTCATTTTACAACCGAACTGTATATGCTTCTTTAGCAGGCTCCTCGGTGCGTAGATTTTCTTGCAGTGAGGACACATATATCGTTTGTGCAAATTCCAACCGCTGCTACCTGAAACAAACGAAGGAAGCTACGATGCAGCTGTGTTCGCTTTATATAGGGACAATCGCAAACAATCGTTCGCATAAAAGAGACCTACAATTGTCTGATCGCCGTGAACTGTCACGTAGTATGTAACTGATTGATGCATACGTTAAACAAATCGATTGTTTAGGTCACTTTTAAATTGTAAATATTAGAAATTAAACAGCTTTCATTTAAACAACCTCAGTTGTTCTATAAGATAAAATGAAGAAATTTATTAAAACATGTACACAACACAAACCCATCGCTGCTAAGCTAGAACCTCATCTTCATTCTTCTTCTTATAGGCTACAATACATGAGATCTAAAGTTCAGTAGTACGGATCAACGTCGAAGCAATGATTCAGGCAGATACGTAGAAATCCCTGAAAATTGTCAACTTTAAAACAATTGATTATCTTATTTGATTATCAGCGAAATCATCCATATACTTATATATTCAAAGAGAATGGTTGCATCAGTAAAATATAAATGGATACTAAGATAGTCGAATTAAAAGACTCAAATGAGGGAGGATTCGAAAAAAATGTCTACGTATAACTCACTAAAAATTACTCATTATTCATTATTCTTTATATAATATTGCATTATAATTTTTTATAATATATTTAATTGCACTTGCAATCATAAAATGCACATTAACGTCTAGTAGACTAGACTTCAGTCATTCTCGTCTAATATAGCATCTAATATATTTCGGTTGAGACTGTATTATGCATCGACTGCATAAAATTGAGAAATGCATAATTCACATTGTGAGTTTCATTGTGCCACTGAGAGAAAAGATTTTGTTATAGGAACAAATCAAGGGAAAGCAAATGTGATATCTGTTAAAAAAAACAGTCGATTTGTTACGATTGCAAATTAATTCGTCAATGTAACAAATAACCAATAGTATCGCTAGCAAATAAGAGGCTCATATATATATATAAAAGTCGTAGACGGTTACAGAGTCTGAAATCGTAAGAGAAATTGACTAATTCTATTCAAGTATTCTCCCTATATTTGACTGTGCTTGATCGGTTTCCAACAACTTAAGACTCCACGATCATCTACGAATTCTATGTAAACGAGCTAAAGTCTATCCAAAAGATAGGTTAGATTCTATATATTTTGTTTCTGTTACTAATAATTGATTGGTATAGCAGACTAGCAGCAATCACAACAACATAATTTGTTGTTACATATTTACCGATCACCACGGTTAAAGGTACTGGTGGCTTGCTAAATTAACAAAATCCTTTCTCTCAGTGTGCTTTGAAGTTGATATGGATCATCCATAGTAGATTGGGATGGTTTCGACCGGCGCGAAACGCCTTCCTCTTTGTTGTTGCGCTACTGTGATCTCGGATGCACGTGCCGCATATGCCTGAAGAGAACGTCCTTACGACTGGTCTTGTACCCGCAGAGATTGCAGAAAATCATGGGTGGTGTGCCACATACGGTGCTCAGGTGACGCTGAAGGCTCGCCTTCCACGCATAGCCCTTTCCACACTTCGGACATGTAAAGGTAGGTTTACCTACGTATTCCCCGAGATCCTCGGATTGCTGCGCGGCCGGATCGAATCCTACAAATTAGACGCAATAATATTAGAATGGTCAAAAGCTACTTTCGAGAGAGAAAAGTTTTTATGTTCTCCGATAAAAGTTGGCGAAACGCGCGGGGAACACAGAGAGATACAACGACGATATCACAAACACGTAAACGCCAAATTTTAACTCGTTGCGTTACGAAATATCTGAAATAAAAAATAAAATTTTTATTTTACAAAGTTTGTCAAAATTGATTTAAATTCGAGGAAATACTTAGAAAATGGAAATTGGAAGTATAAATATTAATACAATTTATTGATGAATAATATCAGAGAAAAGATAATTGAGATTAATCATGAAAATTTCTTGCTAAAAAATGCATATCAATTTATTGCATCAATACAACTATATCTGATTTCATCACATATTGTAAACATCTGTTAGAAACGAAATTTTAATTTATAAATCTCGAAAAGAAAAGAAAGTATATAGTTCATGTATATATAGACGTAGAGGTAAATCAGTATAGCACCATGTTTTTACACAAGTATATCGCAGGACGGGTGTAAAAATAGAGTGATATAAAATGCATATAAAATTTTAGAAAATATTACATAAACAATAATTACTTGGACGAAATATCACGTATAATTATTGTTATAATTGCAAGAAAATCTATATTCAAAAATCACATAATTTATAAAAAATATTGATATTTAATATTATTTTTATAAATCGCAATCATATTGATATAATTTTATTATTCAAAATAAGCCACAAAATTATGATTATAGAATACACATAAAATATATAATATATATTCTCTTGCGTTATAAAATAACAACTTTCATATATTTTATTATCCATAACACAATAATTCAATGTAATGTATAACTTGAATTTAATAAATCAACATAATTTAATGCTGCGTTTATTAACATTTAGTTAATAACTTAATAACAGAAGAATTAAATAAACGTTTTTTTATAATCATTATATCTCGAAAAAGTAATGCAAACTTATGCGAAATCTCGTATCCCCCCACCATCGATCATATAATCTCTCTCCACAGTTTAATAAAAAAAATTCTTACTACAGATCAAAAATCGCTTTGCGTTTCTAGAAGACCAGGATTAGTCGCAAAATATTCAAACGTTTTACATAATCTTTCGATAAGATGGATGCACTTTCACAAAAGTTCATTTACGATTTTATCGGAAATGTATTCTTACACGCTGTACCATCTTTTCATCTTGTTATTGGTAATCAAAATTGAGATTTTTTAATGCGTCTGCTCGATCGCAAGGCCGACATGCTCGCGAACAATGTGATACTTCAATAAGGTAGGAATCCTGGCTCTGTGGGAGCAGTATGGGCAGGGGTAGAGCGGTTCCATCTGACAGAAGAAGTTCATGTGCTTCCGTAGGCTGCGCCAATCACTGTACCGTTTCATGCACTTGAGGCACCGCAGCTCATCCTTACACTGTCTCCAAATGTCACGCGGCAATCCGTCGCAGAAGAATCGCCGTTTAGCTGAAACACGATCAGAATCTTATGTAAGCATAGTAATTAATAATAAACGTTTGTGGAACAAAGAGAATAAGATTGGATTATAATCGTGCTGCTTCTGCTGTATCATCGACTAAACTTGATAATCCTCCCAAATCATGAACATCGACTCATTATCTCATTCATTCAAACCTCATCCATTCACACCAAGAGAATTTTTCGACTGACCAAACATAGTAAAAAGAAAAATATCAAATACTGCATAGAATTTTAAAGATTAAACAAAAATATGAGTAGGAAAGAGAGAGACATCGATTTGGAAAAGTTAATTCAATCTTAGGATTCCTCAAAATTGTAACGTTTCTCTCTATTCAATTTTGTCTTCGATGTGTTTCATATCTTAAAACGCGACATGAAACACCCTGTACATAACAGACAACGACAGCTGTCGCTCAATCAGCATAATTTTCAAATTTAAAAAAAGAGAATAGGGACTTGGAGAGAGATGTGTCACCTTTTTCAACACTCTGAGAGATGGTATTCACAGCATTCAAGAAATTACACAAACGAACGGATTCCCTCTCTGCACATTGACTGCACATTGTCTGACGAGTTTGAGATGCATCTGAAGAAATTATGCTCTGAAGAACGTGAGAAGATCGAAGATATTTCCCTGAAGAGTGTAGCTCGTGAAACGTCGTATAGCAACTATGCCCAATTGCAATTGCGAGCCAGCCGGAGACATAATAAAACAGCAGGGCAGGTGTAAATCGTATGTTTTTATTATGCATAAGTAACATTTTACAGAACAACAAAATTTTGTTATAAGTTGTACTCCCTTTGTATCGCACGATATACATATGATCGTAACGTATCTATATAATATATGTATATATCTATTTTTATAACGAATCGATCAATGCAAACGAACGTTCCGGAAATTCAGATTCATATGCAGATGCGACGATTGTCTTATGAATGTTTTTTTCTGTATTTATCTCTTCTATCTTTTTTTTTCCTTCTGTTTCTATCGCCTATTTTAATATCTAAACGCGACGCCTCAATTAGAATAAAATTTCTCTTTAAATTTTATTTTATTTAAAAAAAATTAAAATACCAACAATTTTTGACAATAATCTTCACAGCCGAAACGCACAAATGTGACTAATAATTCCCTATTCGTCGTAGACGCGTACAAAAATTAAATTTAGCAGTCTCAAATAAGGTAAACATGCGTTTACCCATTTCCGCAATTTTACTTGACAATTATACACCGCCCGAAACCCCTTAGCGAGTTTGATTGGAATCGTAACGCTCGTATGTCACTGGAAAACTTTTTTAAGTGCACCATTGTGTATTATCTTAGCCTAAATCCTTTCCGTTGTGCCAGTATAGTTAACAAGTAATGAGGAAAAACTGTCCCGAGCAATTAATACGGCGTTAAAGTACCGAGATACTCGAGTTAGAGACGTAAGAAGAACTGTACAGCCTACTTTCACGCAAAACCTGTAATAGCAGCATGTGTGGCGAGAAAGCTACTAATCGTCATTATGGACTGAGATTCACGCTTCGCACTTCAAAATTACTCAAAGCATATTCCGTGTCAAACCGTATAACACGGGAAAGCGGGTAAAACGTAACGTCAAACATCTACGCTACAGACAGATATTGACAAACACGTGATATTCTCGCTCTAATAACACTCTGAAAAATCAATATTAAAGCATACTTGTGCACTATGCTGCAATATATTATCCATGTGCACATCACATACATTATAAGACACTTTTCAAGAGATGGGCACGTAAAACAGTTTCCAAATATTACGGCACTAATTCTTTTTTTTTTCTAGCGTGTCGCGCTAATTTCTTCCTTTACCGGCTCTTTCCAGAGTATCATTACAACGCTCAAAGATGGTCATGAACAGTCTTAAATATTACCTTACATAAACATAACGAACATAATTTGCAACTTAACGTGATCGAATCCAAGAGTTCAGATTTTTATAATTCAATAGCGTATCAAAAAACTTTATACACAATCACGCGACAAAAAAATAATGCAATGCACTACTTATATGCATTTTTTTCCATAGACTCCAATAGTGCCATTATTTTCATCCAAACCAAATTTGTGTTAATTGTTTAAATGAAAATTGTTTAAACAAATTGTATGTGATAATTTCAATTTCAGATTCATAATAGAGTGACCTCACAAACCATTACATACAGATGATTATTCAGATTGCATAAGCAGTCCTTAAAGGGTTATATTTATCTATGGATTTAAGTATCCCTCTTTTCATAATTGTTATTTCTTACGTTAAATCCGCCAACAAAGCAGGTGACTCTTATAGATTTTTGTCGCTGAAAACAAATTCATAAATGAAATCGTTCTATCACGTCACGTTTTTTAGATATTTCAGCTCAAAAATTCAAAAAATGCCATTTTTAGCACTTTTATATGAATTTGTTCAAAAACCTGACGTAATAGAGCAATTTTATTTACAGATTCGTTTCCAATTACCAAAAATCTGTAAAGATCACTTGGTCTCGTTAGTGATCTAGAAAAAAAGTTTAAATTTGTCACAGTGTAATCATATGCTATTCATTTCAATGCTAATTATAAACTTATAACGTGTAAAAAATACAATAAACAACAATTGTAACATTCATGTGAAAACTTAAATTTTTAAGATATATAGATGACTTCCTTAATATTTCAGCTCGGTAAATAAGTATTGATTGTTAAACATAAATAAAATTTCTTAATTTCTCTCTCTCGTAAAACACCATTATAATTATTAAATAAAACTGCGCAATGTTGCGTAAAATGTCAAACAATATCAAATTTAAAAAATAAAATTACATAAAATTTAAAAGAAGAAAAATTAAAAGAAGTTAATCAATAAAAATATTTTTTATTATCGATTATTGTTTATTTAATTTTTATATTATATGATAAATAGTAATACTTAATATAAAAATAATTTTAATATACACAAGAATTTTGCGGAATATATTATTAATGACATATTTGGCCTATCTCTCATCGTACTACTCTTTCAAAGTAATTTTCCTTTGTCCAAAAAATTTGTATCTGTATAAGTAATATATATAAATGTATACATTTTTTTTAAATTAAAAAGAAAACGATAAAAAATGCATGATGTTATATAACCCATACTGTTAAACTATTTGATAACAGCCCAATCGATGATACAAAAAAATATATATATCGATATCAACAGAATAGTGTTTTCGATATACACAGAGAAAAAGGTTTCTTTGGTATTCCTATTTATTTGACTAAAATTTGTTTTATTGAAACAACATATGCTTGTACGAAATATTATGTGTTTAAATAAAAATTTTGTTGTTTCATTCGAGAAATATCTATTACTTATCAGGCTGCTCCTCGCCCTGATGAAGTGGACTGCAAGGTTCACGAAACGTTGGCATTCCAAGAATGGATTTGAACACGGAGAAAACCCGCGAAACGCAAGATTGTCATATCTATTACTTGATAGAAATAACATTATTATTTAAAGTAATATCTTTCAATTAAATAAAATATTTGATTACAATGAAGATAGATATTATCTGTTCAAACAAATAATGTGTTTAAGACAAAGATACACATTGTTTCAAATTCAAACAATCGCACTTATTGATTCAAATATTTATTTGTTTGGACCAAATTAACAAATTTATTTGGATACAATAAAATTTATTACATTCAAAGAAATCTTTTTCTACGTGTAGGAAGATAACGCGTGCATTTTGTATTAAATTTGAGCAGCAATGCACATGTATTCTTCAAATAGGGGAAACAAAAAATTTTTTAATTAAAGGAAAAATTTTCAAATAATTCGCACTCTCCCTTCTGAAATTAAATCTGAACTCCTGTTCCGAACAAAAAGATATTCTTAAAAGTTTAAAAGCGAGTCTTATAGACTTCTTAAAAACTAACACGCTCGAGATTATGCGAACGCGATAATTTGAAGAGAAAACTTTCTGGTTAGTAACGACATGGGACGCTTAATACAATGAATCTTTCTTCATGAGGAACCTTTTCGTATTTCAAAACTGTCTGGAGAAATCACTTTCTTCCCAAAGAGTGAAAAAATTCAATTCCTAATCGATTTTAAAGCTTATTTTGTTCTTTTTTTCTCAAGGAACTTTTGCTTATTTTAAAGTAACACCTTTTTTACTCGATCTCGTTTACCCAATATATTTTTTAAACGATGATTGATCTTTCACTTTCATTTCTCTTGAGATTTGTTCTTCATAAACAAAAAACCGCAGCAACTACTGATTATCATTTTGCCTCTGATTATATAACACAATCGATTATATAACACAATCGATTATATAACACGATCGTCTCATGTTCTTCTTCTACTTGGTTTGTGGATTTTTTGGCAAGAATAAATGTAGGAGCATTATTTTCGATACTCGGGATCACTGCCTTCGTCGATCACGCTTATACAGATTGTTGCTTTTAATGTAGCTTTGTTGTGGAACTACTTTGACAAATTCATCTACGGTATCGTTGGCAACTTCTTCGGGGTGCTTTTTCTTCAGATGTCTGCTCAGGCTGCATTGTTGGGTGAATTTGCTGTTACAGAAGATGCAGGAAAATTGGGGATCCACGCGACATTCGAATTTGTGATGACGAGACAGGCTCCCCAAGGATTTATACCTCTTGTTGCAAAAATTACACTTATATTTGCCGGTGATGTTACGGATTTTGCCGCAAACAGTTTTACGATGGCGATCCAGGGTGTATCGGTGGGACAGGCCCTTGCCGCAATCGGGGCACCTGTATGTTTTGTTTTGCGACCCCCAGTTGCAGTTCTGCGTTTCAGGCACAAAAGATGTCCAATATCCCGTCTGATCGATCGAAGAATCGACAGACACAGACGCGGATGACATCGACGGACGCAATGGAGGGAGACCAGTGTTGAAATGAACTGAATTGTTAATGGTGAGATCAACTGCGGTCATGGGTGACGTCGGCGACCTTAGAAATTTAGACCTCATTTCTGAAAATCAAAACGGCGATGTTAAAGAAGCTCGTGGTGGAATCGGGTTTAGACAGAGAAGGCAAAAAAAAAAGAAAAAATAAAAGCTTTATTATGCCTTGAAAGGAAATGCTTGAAGACGGACAATGGGATGAATACGGAAGATGTGAAAGATTCAGAAAATCGCGCATTTTAATGAAAGATTAATATTGACGGTGATTAAACAAGCAGCTGTTAGTGATTTGTTGTGATAAATAAATTTGAGTATATTGAGTCCCGAATGACGAAAAATTTATCAAATCGATAATAGAAAAGGAAATAAAAAATTGAAAAGAGACTGACAAAAGGGAAATACATATATTAGAACATATGTAAACGGTTTTTAAAAAAAGGACGATCAGATTATCTAACAATGCTTGAAAGAAATTGAATAATAAAGATTAACGACTAAAAGAACACGCGACTTCGCAACTTCATTCATGGATAATTGCGAATATCATGAAGGACAGCGGGGGAGAACAGAAGGAATGGTATACATATATTCCAGTAATAATTGTTGAATACATACGTACATGTAGTAGCGATACGAAGTTCCCGGCATAGGACAGCGCCGAGAAGAAAATTAAGAATAGCGTGTGTGCCGTGATAATAATAAAGATTTTAATAAATACGCAAGTTTCAATAAATTATTTACAGATTACGAGAATTATGTATAATAAATTTTACAAAAAATCAATAGAATTAAAAAATTCTTCAAGAAGACGACGTGCATCCGCATCGAACGAAGATTGTAGGGAAACGTGGAGGCAATAAACGATTATGGCGTCTCATCGAGACTAATTTATTGTTACGTTTGCTACTATAGATAATGTGTATCTATGGATCTAGGCACAAAGTGTTATCAGCATCTAAAACTTTATTAACGTTCTGGAATCCAATTTGTAAGAATTGGATTATGTTGATAATGTATACGGTATACTATTGTAATAATGTTCTTCGTATGATGATCTTCGGGTTTGCATAGGATACGTTGCGTAGTTCGAGATGTACACGTGTCACAAGTTTTACTTAATCTTCTAAGGAGCGCTAGAATCTTCGGCGATAGGCTATAAATAATTTTCGCGGGAAGACACAGGAGGTGGTATAGTCATTAAACAAGTGTCCACTTGAGTCATTCTTCACAGAGATGTCGTAGTAAGACTTCCACTTCCGAGATGATGAATTCTACCCAGAATAGCTGCGCGTTCTACGAATAGATCTTCAATAACGGATTCTTCAATGACGGGACGGAAAACTCTTCACTTGATGATCTTCCGGACACACTGCTTCCTTGGCGGTTGATAAAAGTTGTGGTTCTGCATCAGGTGACGGCGCAAACTGACGTTTTGCGTAAAACTGCGTCCGCATAGGTCACATGAAAAGTTCCTGCGACCGCCGCACTCGTACTTCAAATGCTTCGATAGACTGGGTTTGACCTTGTAACCCCGGCCACACTGGGGACACTTGAGGGTGAGATCCTCATCCTTCAGGTAATTCGCGTGTCGCGACTTCCGGGGCGGTCCCGGCTCAATGGTCGTCCAGACTATACCTGGAAGAAGACGAAGATGACAGTCGTGTTAGTCGTGAGTTCACCTTGCTGACCGAGATCGTTAGACGCGAGTCTTAACGATCGAGACCTGATCCGCGCTAACCCGCTAGATCACGTTTCGACTTCTCGAGAAGAGACACGAAAAGGAGTTCGGCGTGGTCGTCGAAAATTCGCGATTCATAAAACCATTTGATCGATCAGCAATCGGAATAACTCGATTGCACATTTAAAGCGACGACTAGTCGCTTAATCTACCATCAACTATTGACATCCATCAAGGAAGGGAAAGGAGGGACTAAACGAAGAACTATTTCAAACTAATATGAGATCGCTCACATATCTCTCTTTCTTAGGAATTTCTCAGGAGTCATGATCCAGGATGGATTACAATGGTAAATAGTCTACATAAGATTAGATGCTATCCCGTGATCGACGAAGTCGACTTTATGGACTCCCTTCATGTGCCGTTCAAGGCTCGTTTTCTGGGTGAAACTTTTGAAGCAGTAGACGCACGGGAAATAGCGTTTCCCGCCGCACTCCCATTTCGTATGTCTGCGCAGATTGCAGAGCATCGTGTAGCCGCGTCCACATTTTCGACAGGCAAAGCGGCTCAAGCGGGACCTCGAGAAACCTGCTAAACGAAAGAAAACATTACTCTGAGAATGCGTCCGTGTGCGTGTGATACATCGACGATCGAATTTTGACAAAGTGAAATTCTAGATTGACGCGAATACGGGAGATCAATGACGACATTGTGTTTCTTGCAAAAACATCTTAAGACACCGACAACGACAAATTTAAACACGATATCAATTACTTCCTCATCGTAGCGTTTTTTGCGCCGTCTGGTAACATCAGCATGCAAAAACTTCCAGCAAGAATATTTTATCAATGGCAATTCGCTTGAAATCATTTTATATATATACTTTCATTCTTACTACATGAACAAACCTCGAGATATCGATTCGTTCATCGTAGGAACAATGTCAGAAACATTAATTCGTTCTTCGTGCAAGCATTTGTCATAGATAAAATCCTTCTGAAAAGTTCATACTCTATACGTATAAATAACAAAATAAATTCTAAAAAAGTAATCTAATAGAATGTATTAGAAAAAACATACTAATATATTGTTACGTGTTATAAATCCGCTCTTATCAAGTTGAAACATGACAGCATATATTTTCGACATAATTTATTGTGTGCAACTTATAAAGATCAAGATTTTATTAACTTTGGTAACTATGCAAAAACTATAGGCTAGTAATGCCCGAAAGGCTTATACAAAACATTCTTCACGTTGTTTTTCACGTGTAAGTTTCACAGAGTTTAAAGTCTAGTCTATCTTCATTCGACGATTCTCAAATCTTTGGCACAAGTTCTCCCAATTCTCTGAAGATTTGCAGTCTTCAACGTCATCTTCCAACGAAATTATCTTGCTCGTCGTTCTTATTGATAGATGATTCGATCGTACATCTTCCTCGGGTTATTGTATCTCTTCTTCACGGGCATCACAACGTTGTGATGATGCGTCAGATGCCTACGCAGACTGACGTTTTGCGTGTACTTGTTCGGACACAAGTGGCAGGAGAATCTTCGTTGACCGCCGCATTCGAAGCGTACGTGTCTTGCCAAGTTGTGCTTCAGCGAGTACCTCTTCCCGCAAGCGGAACACTGGAGAGCCTGATCTTCATCGTTGCTAGAATTCCTCGCATTCGTTCTAACTCTGGCAATCTTCGTCGGGGTAACATGAGCTTTTCGGTCGTAGACCGCGGGATTGTCTGGAGGATGGAAGCTCTCGTAAAAATCTGAAAAAATAACGTTCATGCGCTGATTAGTATATAGAATCGTAAAACGAAACTCGCACACTGATCTTCTCCTTGTTTTATGTGACTTATGGAGCCCAGTGGATGACCGTGGAACAATCTGGTACATCGTATTATCCTCAAATACAGATACTTTGCCTTGAAGTAATATATCTCGCGCTATTTACCGTTAACAAAATATACTTACATACATAATTGTTACATTTTATTCTAAGGATGTGGGCCATCATTTCTAACTTCGTATAATTATCCTTTGGTAAAATATATATAAATAGCAAAATGAAATTCTTGAAATAATTCAATTTAATTTTTCCATAAAAGAAGTCATAATTTATGTATTCAAATGCAAGACAAATGCATGTTTTAAATTATACTTCTGTTTTGAAAAAATTAATCATAAATTCTATCAGGATGGTAATCGTACCACTTTTGACGTATATCTTTTTAGAATGTTCGGTATAATTTAAAAATAAAATGAGATTAAAAAAAAATTGTGCGCAAGAAGAAATCTTAGATCCCATACTTAAGCTGAAATACGCAGAATACTTTTAAATTTTCGCAAAACAACCGATAAATTTTTCATATATTACGTGTAATTCTTCAAATTATATATTTAAACAATTTTTATTTGTCAAAATTCATTAGGGTTCTGTATTCTGAAAAAAATAAAACCGATATAATACCTAGAAAATGAAAATCAAGGGGTTATTTAAAAAAAATCATGCTGCTGATGCATCAACCTGTTACAAAAATAAAGTTTGCTAATATAGCGCCGTTAATCAACTACGTCGATATCAATAATTTTCTACAACTATTATGTTTCCGTTTCACATCATGCGTCGAGCTTCACAAAAAATTCAGTTCGTCGCATTTTATTAACTTCTAATCATCGTAACTGCGATAACGTTTTTCTATTCGAGGATAAAGGTAATTAAGGGTTAGCAAATTATTTGTATTGCAACATGTTTATTATTAAATCAAGATAGCTAATTGTTCGCCGATATAGATCCGAACATAATTTCCGAAAGTAGATTTTTCTTTCGAAAATGTAATGGGGGCACAAAAATATTGTGGGCATTCAGCATATGTTGTCGCAATTTGCCGTTTTGGGTATATCTAGAAGGACAAAGAGAACATGCGAAGTGTTTCTGCCCGCCACATTCGAATCTCAGATGTTTCACTAGATTGTGTCTTGATTGATACGTTCTGCCGCACTGATGACAATTGAAGACTACATTGTTCCTGAAGGTTTCATCTACGAGGCTTCGTGTGGCAACTGACGGCAACTCTGTAAAAGAGGAATAATCGGTTAGTGTATCAAGCGCGGTAGGTGCAAGTTTCTCAAGTTAACACCAATAACACGTATTTTCCAACTGCAAACCTGATGCCAATTTTCTTTCCTTCAAGCTGGGGAGAGAATAAGGGATAAATCGTATACGATCGTTTATTAAAAATTTATTTATAAATGAGATATATATATATTGCGTTTCTTGAAACAAATTTTTCCAATAACTCAATTAATCAAGATATTATTATACATTTCATCTTAGTTTCCAGGAATCGCATAAATTATTCATTTAATTTCGGCGATTCGTGTATTGTTAAACTGGAATATATTACATATTACAAGTTCAATATTTTGTAATACGTGAATGCTCTACTGATGGGGCATTTTATCATTCTTTGGTTTTAAAAACTCGCGTCCTTGCACATACAAATTATAAATTATGATAATAAATATATAGATATAAATTCAAGCAGTAAGATAATTAAGATAAAATAAGATAAAAAAGATAAGACAAAATAAAATCGGTTATAAGAAACATTTAGATAAAAAATTATACGAAAACAATCATTTCCAGAAATGTTCCTTAACTTCGAACTATTATACAGGGATGGTAACGCGTTACTTGCAACACTATTACCGTTATTTTTTTATAATAAATAAAATACGGTTCAGTAATAATGTTACAATTTTTCATGATGGTAACGCCAGAACAATGATGTCAGAGAATTAAAAAAATCACTTTTGAAAATTAATTCGTTATTCATTAAAAAAAAAAAACTCATTACTTAGTCATATGTATAACGAGCACCGAGTAAAATAACGAGTTACCTTTTTTAATGAGTAACGATAACGTTATTTTTTAAAAGTGATTTTTCCTGGTGTTACCGTTACCGTTATAAAAACACTGTAACGTCATTACCAAATCGTCACTATAAAAAAGCAACGATAACAGTAACGGCGTTACAAGTTAGCATTACTCTCTCATTCTTGCTA